GAAGTGTCTCTGGTTCAAGGCAGCCTACACAGCAGCGAGTTGCAGTAGCTGTAAGCTATTATTTTAGCTCCCAAGGAAAGTAATTACTATAGCAACCAACACATCCGAATGGCTTTTTCGCTGCTACTGAGACACAAACAACTTGTGCACAAAGGCACATCTGAAACGTGCTGCGTGAAGCATTCTCGGGTAGCCATGTTTTTTGAAGAGCTTTGTAAAATATGTGTAAGTGGCTCCTGATAAATGACTGTCAGAATAACAGCAAGCAATTGTACCGTGCTGTAATCCTAAAATAACCTCATCAATGGCTCGGTATATTTGCCTCTGAAGAGATGAAACAAAAAAAATGCAGGCTCCATTTTAAGCCTCTATGCTGGAAAGTAGCCAGCAGAGCTGAAGATACATTCAATAAACAGACAATAAACTGGTGAGGGGAATGTCTGCCCTTTTGTTCTGTGTACTGATGCAACCTCCCTGCAGGCTTTAGTGCCAGCTCGGCCCCTGGAGCCTACACAAAGTTTGTTGGAAAAAGGGGATTTAATTACAGCCTTGTAATGCTGGAGGGTGTAACAAGTGATGTCTGCATTCTTTTTTGTGACTGTGCAAGCAACCAGCCCCTATGGCTATCAGCCAGCTGGCTTATAATTATCTAATTAAGGTTTAGGCCCTGCCTACAAAAGGTGGGCCATTTCCTCCTGGCTGTGGAAGATGTGATACATCCTTGGAGCTGCAGCCTAGGCTGGTGAGCAACATCTGGTGGCCCTGATGTGATACCCTCATGAGAGACCCTGAAGACCACGGCCCTGACTCCCTTGCCGGAGCCTGAGCCAAGAGCCAGAGCCAAAAGAGCTGGAGTGAGAAGTCCTTTGATAAAGAAGGTAAAGCTGCTGCCCCAAAAGAGAGAAGTGTGCTGGAGTTGGAATGAATGAATTGGGTCTCTGCTCACTGTAAAGCCTCCACCTTCCTTTAAAAACAAAAACTGGTAAAACAAAAAGGGGGAATTATGGCTATTGTAACTGTGGCTATTGCCCAGATTGCCCAGCTGGGTTGAATTGATTGATTTCCTAGTTAAGGTTTAGGCCCTACCTACAAAAGGTGGGCCATTTCCTCCTGGCTGTGGAAGATGCAATGCATCCTTGGAGCTGCAGCCTAGGCTGGTGAGCAACAACTGGTGACCCTGATGTGATATCCTCACGAGAGACCCTGAAGACCTTAACCCTGACTCCCTCGCCAGAGCCTGAGCTGGAGCCAGAGCCAAAGGGCTGGAGCCAGAGCTGGAGCAAGAAGTCCTTTGATAAAGAAGGTAAAGCTGCTATCCCCAAAGAGAGAAGCATGCTGGAGTTGGAATGGATGAACTGGGTCTCTGCTCACTGTAAAGCCTTCCTGAAAACCTAAAAAGCTGTAAAACAAAAAGGGAGAATTATGGCTATCACCCAGCTGGCTTGTAATTATCTAATTAAGGTTTAGGCCCTGCCTACAAAAGGTGGGCCATTTCCTCCTGGCTGTGGAAGATGCAACACATCCTTGGAGCTGCAGCACAGGCTGGTGAGCAACAAGCCCCAACAGACCCACAGACCCTGTCTCCAGCTGCAGCGCTGGGTACATTACTATGCTGTCAGCAAATGAGGAAGCCTCTTGGGTAACAGCAAACTGTAATCTTTTGCCATTGCTGAAGTTTTATAGCATTTGGAGTGTGTCTGTCACCTTCAGATTAAAACATTGCTGATGTAGTAACAGCTTGATTGTTTCTGGGCTCTGCATGCAAAGCTGCACCTCCTCACGGTGCTGAGACAAACAGCTTAGGTTTCCCAAAACAAGAGATCTGGTCCAAGCAACCTGGCCCAGGAGTACTGTCCAAAGATTCCCCACGGGGCAGATACAGACATGTCACCTATCTCAAGAATGGTGAGTGGCATTACCGGCACACTCCTGCTCCGTTATGCAAGGCAGCTCTGCTGAAAAGGGGGGTTATGGATCTGGGTAACTCAGAACAGAGCTGTATCCTGTAAGTGAGCACAACACAGCCCTTCACAAACATGAATTGCCTTTTATGATGTTTTTTCATCACTTGAGTCCTAAAGTCTTGCTCTGGGTCCAGAAGGAAATGAAAATCACAATGCGGTTTAAAATAAAGACAAAATTAAGGAAGGAAGCATAGTAATGTAATTTATTACAGAAGTGCCTTAGGACCAATTAAAAAAAGATCTTGCGACAGCAGGTACTGCACGACAGAGTTTTGGTTGACTGTAGCCTTGTAAGCAAAGTCACTTTATTTTGGATTAAAAAAAAGCATCTGAAGAAAAGCACGAAAATAAAATAACACAAGCATAGGTAAAATCCAATGCCTCCCTTCTGCCTAGCAAAACAGTAGCTGCCCTGCAGGCACTTGGAATTTCCAAGCTGCTGATCCCAGGGAAATAAATTCTTCTTTGTAACTTTTCTCGTAACAAGTTTATTTTCTGACAGTAGTTGACAACATGTTAAATGGCTCCCTCTCAAAAAAACAAACCAAAAAAAAAAACCCAACCTGTTCTTTTTCCCAGTGTGTCCTTTTACCAGCTTTTTGGTGGTGGAAAGACAGGACCATTCATGCACAGCCTGACTTCCCAGTTTGCCTTTGCTACAAAACTCTTGCCTGGTTTAGAGAAGCTGGGGCCAGGCTTCTGGGCAGCATGTAACCTGCCTTCATGTCATGCTTCTGCTATATCTCCAGGGTCACTGGCTGTGATAGAGTGGATAAATCCTTGTTCCTCACAGACATTTTGGGTTGCAAAATGCTGTTGCAGTACCTTTTCCTTGAGAGCAAAGGGAGATAACGGCAAAGAGAGCTAGTGCACTGCCCAGCTTCTTGTGCAGAGCTGCAAGGCAGAGAAGTGAAACCAAAGTCTTGAAGATGTGCAGCAAGCTTTGCTGAACACTCACCAGCTGTGGAAGTGCACTGCTGCCAGTCAGGCATGTTCAGGCCCGGTACTGAGGTTTTCTTCTGGGAAGAAAGAAGAGAAAAATGCAAGGAGTTTGCATTTGACCCTCACTGTAAGCAAAACCCAGTGCCACAGTGAATAAAGCCTGAAACAAACTCTCTCTCAAAACCAGAAATGATCAAAATGAAAATCCGGTGTAGTGAGATGCTGAACACCACTTGCTTGTGTCCTGCCTCTTCCCCCCGTCTGCCTCCCCCATTCGCCAGAGGTGGATAGGTGGGACACACACAAAGGCAAACTGTGAGAAATCCTCTAGGTAATGAAGCAGGACTCTTGAAATACCTTGCTCAAATCCTGAAGCTGATGTTTCTCCACTGTCCTTACTGTTTCATGCAAGATTCAGTCTTGTGCAAGCTGGTTTCTTTCCTGGTTTATCTGTCAGCTTGAAAATTAGGTGGATGGTTTGTGAACGGATTTGTTTGTGGTATTGCTTTTGCACCTGCATGGTCTTGATGTCACTGGGGCTTGAGTGATCTTGCATCTGTGAAGATACGTGAGAAAATGAAAGAGCATGCATGACTATTACATCAAAGAGTTGGATCTGGACCTTCTCTGGTGTGAATCAGAGAAATAGATGAAAATGGCAGCTCCTGTCATGTTAAAAACCCACACCTTAATGAAAACTTGTCCTTGCAAAGCAGAAATGCTTCCTTGTAGCTGGAAAAACACATTAAGAGAGAGGTGTTGAGGGAACCAAGGTGCTAAGGAGTGGGATTCCGGGAATGCTCTGCATGTGAAAACACCTCATGAAGCAGTTGTAGATGTGGCTGCCCTCTCTTCCACCTGCCAGGAGCCTTCCTTGCTCCAAACAAAGTCTGTGCTGCTCCCCAACTGGTTTCAAACAGGAGGTGACGTTGATGAGCAGCAAAAAGCATGTTTACTTGCAATGGTGTTTTCGGATAGGGAGCACTAGTTGTCAGGGTGCAGAAGGAAGCACAGGAATAGCCATTTGTGTTACACTGCAGACACAAGGCCATTGCTAACAAAGAAGTGCAGATTTCCAAACCATCTCTGCTCAGCCCTGGGTGAGACATTTTGCTTCTGTGTCAGCTTGGAATCCGTAGTTTATCTTGTCTGAAGATGATGACTGTGTTGGAAATGAATATTTAGCAACCACTGGTTGATTGATTGAGGTTTTTTTGGTGGCAGTTCTCGGAATTATTGGTTCTTTGAACAAATTCTGAAAATGGGCCCTCATAAAAATATAATAATATCAAGTTGTAGTGAAGTTCTTTCCCCTTGCACCTGGGCCTTGCCAAGAGATGCCAAAAATGTGCACACACATCACTTCAGTCTTCCTAGGGTTTTCCTGCAGACTGAAATTGCCTGCAAAGAACTGAGACAGACAGAAGGCAGTATTTCGAAGGATGATGATTTTTAATCAAGTCTCGGTAAGGGCCCCGTGAACATGACTTTGAGAACAACACCTAGCCAGTATACGCCCTGAGCCAAATTTACAGCTCTGTCGGCCAGTGATAGACCTGCCTTGTGCCTCTTGAGGAGGGGCTAAGGGGGAGGATGGCATAAAGGGTGAAAACAGCGTTTTGTCATGTCATACTTTGCAAGAGCTGGTGACTGTGATGCTCTGTCCCCCAACAGCCCAACTGTGCATGCTGGCAGCCACGCCGCCCGTCCGCCCGTGGCATGAACCTGAGCATGTGCAGCCTTGCTCCCTTTTTTTGGCATTCTTCCCCCTCTCCTCCGCCACCTCCAGCCCACCAGACCCGGAGGGCCCCTGCCCAGAGGCGGAAGCCCTCGGCACCACTGCACTCCACGCCCCGCTCCACTCCACGCCCCACTCTGCGCGGCAGCACGGTCACTCGCTGGTGTGCTGCCTGCCCGGCTGCGGTGACGTGTGGGAGGCGATGCCTGATGTGACTGCTCCTGGCGCTGGGAGGCAATCACATGATTTTTATGACTGCTCTTTGAAACCGTGTTTGCTCTGCGCCCGGCCACCATTGCTTCCTCCTGAGCGTCCTTCCCTGGCAGGGCCGCAGCTCCTGCCCCTTTTGGGGAAAAATGACAGAAGTGAAGAGAAAGGTGTTTGGGCAGATGCCCCAGGAGGAAGGAGGAGGAGTGGTTGAAAAGTTCATCTTGAAGTCTGACAGCGTGAAAGTGGAGATCCTGTCCTTAGGGTGCATAATTGCTGCTCTGGAGACAAAAGGCAGGGATGGGGAGTTTTCAGATGTTGTCCTAGGCTTTGACACCTTGGAAGGTGAGTCTAAATCTGTTTCTTTTTAAACAAAACATTTTTAAAAAGCCAATCAGACAATTTAACCAGTGTTTTCTGGTTTATTGCCGCATTGCATGATCTGCTTCTAAGAGTCCCCTCCAAATCGTGGGATGAATAAATACAGCTCCTGCTGCCTGTCTCAGTGGCTGATGGGGAACAGGGACGCTGATGGGGAACAGGGACACTGGTGGCTCCAGGCTGCAGTGTGCCCCTTTAATGGGGCGTCTCTGTGTCACGCGTTGACTGGCAGTGACAGAAGCCTTTTCTGCAAATCTGCAAAGAAAACAAGATCGCATTCGATTATTTTAATCAAAGATGTGCATTACTAGCGAGCTGTGTGTCCTGTGAAACACCAGGACTGCAGCCACCTATTTAGTGCCAGGGAGAAGCAGAGAGAGACACCTCTGAGTCCATGAGCACACCTGGAAACCACCTGTCCTATCCCAATCCTGCCGTTTAACCACACGCTGTTTTTCCAACCAGGTTACACAAGGAAGCACCCCTACTTCGGCGCCATCGTGGGGCGTGTTGCCAACAGGATTGCGAATGGAAGGTTCGCCGTGAATGGGAAGGAGTATCAGCTGTTCCTCAACAACGGGCCCAACAGCCTGCATGGAGGAGCCAGGGGATTTGACAAGGTGAAAATCAGGTGTGCGATTCCCAGTGTCCTCCAGCACACAGCCTGTGAGCTTGTGGCAAGAGGATACGATGTCTTTGCTCCCAACCCTGTAGGGTTTTCTGGTGGTTATTGAGTTGAATCAGCTCCCAGAAAGTGCTGTGCATGCAGGAATGGGGACAGGTGAGATCCTGTGAGCTGACAGGTCGGCTTGTCTTTTCCTGATGGCTTAGCAAGACTCATTGATGTTTGGATGCCATGCAGGGGGTCACTGTGCTCCTTCTGTGTTGCTGCAACTCTGCGGCCTTGTGAGCCCAGTTCTGATGAGGTTGTCTTGTGGCTGGGTGCTGCTCCCACAGAGCCTGGATTGGGACATGGCAGTGAGGACCCAGCTTCATGCAGCCACACTGCCCCAGAGCAGGTGTTGTCATCATTCCAGTGCCCAAAGAAGGTTTCCTGGGAAACAGTGATCCACAACAGACTCATTTGAGGCTGCAGTTTCAAGGCTGTTACCTGCCCATAGCTCCTCCCAGAGTCTGACCCAGAAGGTCCTGGGTTTGCAGAAGCTGAATATCTTTGCTGCTTGCTTTTGACAGCAAACGTGGGGAGAGCAGGGTGGTGCTGCAGGTTCTGTGCGGTTATTGCATTATCCACTTTGGTGCCACTTTCGCTGAAGTGACAGCATACCTTGGGCTCTCGCTCTGACTCACAGCCAACAAATGAATAGATTAGGCCTGCAAAATGCCCCAGCATCACTGTAGCCCATCCCCAGTCCTTCCCTGTGACCTCCCAAGATAAAATAACCTTTCCCTGGCCCCAGGGCACTCAATCCTTCCTATCTTCTCCTGAGAGCTGCTGCTGAAGTCCAGATACCATCCATGCGCTACAAGTGGTAGGAGCAGTGGAGCATCTCTTCTCTTTGAAACCTTGCTGGTAACCCTGCTGATTGCATAGCAGGCTCAGAAGTCTCTGCTTTCCTGAAGCCTTAGGCTTTGTCGAATCAAATGCATTTGTAACCACCGAGTAGCTGATGCATCATTTCCTCAGAGGAATGCATCTGAATTTACTGGTGCAGCTGCTTTCCTGGGTTAATGTTTTGTTTTGTGAAGGGACATCCAGGCTGATGGGGCAAAAGTCAGAGTGTCTGGAAAAAAGCTTGCTTCTGGGCAGCGCAGTGTGAACTGACATCAGATCAAGATCAAATGCTCCTCAGCAGCCTTAGGAAAAATGGAATACCGGAGTGATTTGGCTGTTGTACCCTCAAAGAGGACAATTTGGTTTAAAGTTTCTTTATACGCCCTGAACCCTTGTGAGCTGGAGCTGAAAACATGCACTCCTTCGCATCTGGGGCTTCCAGGCTGTCTTCTGCAGATGGGGGACATGGTCTCTTATCCTGCCTCTTCCCCTTGTTTGCTGAAGGCATGCCAAATTGGTGGGGATGAGGCAGCGACACCTTCCAGCCAGGGCTTTGTGTCCTCTGGCCCATGGAGCATGCTTGGGCACCTGCTCGAGAACCCCCTCCAGCCAGCTAACAGTCACTGTGCAGAGACCTGTGATCAGCCCTAACTAGAACAAGATGTGCTGGCTCTTGGCTGTGACTGTCTTGGCCATCTAGTCGATTTTTCCTGATCTCGCAGACTTTGGTGCTGTGGACAGTGCGTGGTCTGATGACAAGGAAGCTTGCAGCCGTGCTTACACAGCAGCAAAATCTGAACATGCTGTATGCTTACTAGACTTTAATAGCTTTTTGTTTGAAGAACTTAAATAGAAACTCATACATAAACCCACAGCATCCCACAGCAGCAGGAGCTGCAGTCAAACTGCACTTGATGCAGGAGGGCCTGCTCTGCACTGGCACCCTCAGTTCCTGTGTTTGGTGAAAATATTGGCTTTTGACAAGTTTGTCAAAAGTTTGGCCCTGAGTTTGTGATCTCTGCACAGGACATGAAAAGGGTCATCTCAAAAGCATTATCTGGCCCCTGCCCTAGATCTATCCTCTTTGATTAGACAGTAACTATTCATTAGGTAGATGCAAAGCTCCAGAGACTGGGCACCTCGCCTCATTACACATCCATCCAGCGAGGGGCTGAGACATCTGCTGAGCATCAGGTCAAACCTGGGTAGCTAAGTTGACAGTGTGCTGGCTTGCTTTGCTCGCCAGCAGTTTTGGCTCCAAGCAGAGCCCTGGTCTCTGGCAGGGGCAAGAAATTGAGAGGTCTCATTTCTCTGGATGAGCACTGACGTGTGGATGTATCTGGCGATACGTCTGGTGCTATTTAACTGAACCCCAGCCCCTAAGCAGGAGCTCCCAGGGTGTGTTTACGTTGCCCTAGAAGCCAACCCCAAGTCAGCTGAGGGAAGGGCGGCAGCTTGTTGAGGCCATGTTGCACACCAGGAGATTCATGAGAGGGGGAGAATAAATCCAGCTGCAGGGCAAAAATGAAATATGTGGACCCTTTTAGGCATGGAATAACACAGGCTGGGACAGATCCTCGTCAAAGCAAACTGCCTTATTTATTTGGCTGCTTATTGGTAAACTTGTTTCCTGCTGCTGGCTCTGGCTGACCAAGCGCAGGCTGAGTGCTTGTGTTTTCTCACACTTCCCTTTTTCTTTTTCAACAAGGGGATTTTGTTTGTTAGTCCTTCATAGGGAGAAAAAAATTGTTTGGGCTTTTTTTTCTCCTTCTAGGAATAAGACCAGGAAAGATGATTGAAAAAACCTTTGTTTCAGTGCATCATTCCTGGAGTACCTTTTATCCCTGGATTCAGCCTAGCCTGGTGCAGGAGAGAAGGGCGTTGTTTTTCCCATAACTGTCCCACCAACGACACACTCCTTGCAGGTTCTCTGGAGCCCCCAGGTCCTCCAAAATGGTGTCTGCTTTTTCCGGCTCAGTCCTGATGGTGAGGAAGGCTATCCGGGTGACCTGAAAGTCTGGGTGACTTACACACTCAGTGGCGGGGAGCTGGCCATCAACTATCGAGCCCAGACCAGCAAGACAACACCCATCAACCTGACCAATCATGCATACTTCAACCTCGCAGGGCAGGTGAGCATGGGGAGATGAAACCTGTGGAGGGCCACCATTCAGGAAGAAAGCCTGGGGACCTGTGGGATGATCCATGGGCTTCTCATGGGATCATGGGGACCAATATGTCTGGGGACACAGCATGCTTCCAGGAATACAGTGATGGGGGTTGTCTCCTGGGCTGCATGCAGCCTATGAGCTGGGACAGAACTGAATCCCATAGACAGCAACATTATCCCAGTGCATCATGAATAGAGACGTCCCATCATTAATATTAACTGGGGAGATTCATTGTCTCCTAGTCCTTCAGGAAGATTTCAGAGGAGATGCAGAACTGGCATGTCCTAGTGATGGACTGGCATTTTTTACCTGTCTTCTGCTGGCACTTCTGAGACAACATACTGAACCCTTGTGTGGATGGTGCAGCTGAGATCAGGGCCTGTAGTGCCAGCCAGAGTCAGCACAGCACCGAAATACCCAGGTCAAAATGAGGAGGAGAAACATCACAGAAAGGGGATGTGAGGCAGCCAAGGTTGCAGAGCGGGGCAGTAGCAGGGTGCAGAGGGCTCCCACAGTCCAGGGTCCCGCCAGCTAGACAAGCACTGTATTATAACTGTGTTTTAGTCTCACCCTGTTTATAACTGGGCTTGGAGGAAAAGGATCTGGGAAGTAAAATGTTGCAGGGATGGGACAGTGCAGCCACACTTGAATGTGAGACCAAGATGCTTAAAAGTGTTAGTGAGAGACATCCCAGCCTCTCCGTGCAGGAGGTCTGCTCAGGCTGCTGCCCTGGTGATGGCTGTGCAGTTGTTAGTTTTACCCTTCGCTCGTCCTCCCAGCCGTACAATAGTATCAGCACCTACAGCACGCAACTCAGGCGTGTTTCCAGAGGAACAAGAGACCTTTGGGCATGAAATTGCTGCTCAGATTAGACAGTGACGCACAGGCTGAGCTCTCCTTCCAGCCCAGCATGTTCCCTGCCAGCATCCCCAAGGCTGCAGGAGAGGAAGAGGAGCACAAATCCCCCGTGCTGAGGAAATGAGCCAGGAGGACGGGTTGCGCTTCCCCATGGTTGCTTCCTTCCCCTTTGCCTGCCGCTGTGTGCTCAGCAACCAGTGTGTTTCATCTAGTCCAGCTGCAGGGTGGTGGTGCTTGGTGAGGTGCAAGCTCAGTCTCAGCTCTGCAGAATTTACAGCTCCTAGGTCCCACGCTGATCCCTTTGTCCTCTGCCCAGGGTCAAGGTGGGATGACAACCAGGACATCCCCCAGGCACTACCAGATCAAGTGCAGCATCACCATGAGCAGTCATTTCTGGGTGTGCTTAGGGCTTCTCAGATGGTGGGTCACAGCAGGAACTGCAGTATTTCGCCTCCTCCTGCAGGGCTCGCAGGATATCTATGACCACGAGATTTCTGTTGAAGCAGATTCCTCCCTGCCTGTGGACGACACCAAGATCCCTACTGGTGGGTGGTGCGGTGCCCGCGGTTCGGTGGAGGCGGTTTTACGGATGAGTTTTTGTGGGTATCGGGGAACAGCGCTGCCTGGCCAGGAGTGACGGACCAGGACCCAGGGGACCTCACCCACAGGCATGGTCTCACAGCACCTGAGCAAAGTGGGCAGAGCCAGGTGTTGGTGACAGGGTCCATCACCAGCTCCAGACCCAGAGAGGGGGGTGGACCGGGTTCCATCCAGGGGCTGCTGGCAGGAGCAGCATGAAGTGGGGCCAGAAGCAAGTGAGATGCAACGCTGTAACATGAGTCCAAAGGACCCACCTGGGAGACAAGCTATCTATGACACAGGTCCAAAGCATGTCCCTCCAGACCTGCTTGGCCAGCATTTCCCTGCAGGCCAATCCATTGTTCGCAGGGAAAGTGGGGCCACCAGAGAGCTGGGATTGGCTTGGGGTTTGCCTGCTTTGCTTTCTCCAGCAGCGTTCAGCTTTATCATACCCCTCTGCTGGCATTTTCCACATGACGTCAAGGTCTTATTTCCACAGATCTTGTTTCCATAAGATCGGCCCATAATCAAAATCCGCAGAAAGCAGGAGAATTCATTTCTTAATCCTCGGTAAAATGTGGGAGATTCAAGCAGCATGCTCCAGGCACAGGGCTGCTGTCGATAAATGCAACGGCACACCAGGACATAATCAGACTCTTTGAACTGGAGGGCAGCACCCAGGCCCAGCACTGAGCTCTAGAGCTGCTGGGATCTCTGGTGCTTTGGAGCCCAGCATCATCCTTCTCTGTAAGAGCTGAGCTATCGGTCCCTTCACTGGGACAGAAGAGCTGGTGCTACCAGCTGGGAGGCTGAAGACACAAACCCAATGCTTTTCTTTTCTGTCTTGTTGTGGTTTTCAGCCGATCCAGCAACTAAAACTCACACAGTCACTCCTTCTCCAGTAAAGTGGAGAGAAGAAAAATATAATAAAGGGACTGAGGGTTGAGACAAGAACAGAGGGAGCACCCACCAACCATGGTCCCGGGCAAAACAGACTTGGCTTTCTTAAAGCAAAACAATTTATTAACGGTTACTTAAAAGGACAAAGAGAAACAAAACCAGTTACTTGAGAGGATAAAAAGAAACAAAGCCAGATCTTAAAACTGACACCTTCCTTCCCCCTCCCCCCTTTCCTTTGCCTCCCGGCTCTACCTCCTCCCCCCAGCAGCGCTAGGGGCAGGGACTGGGGGAGTGCAGGTCAGTTCGTTCTGTGCTGTTACTGCTGCTTCTTTCTTAAAGGAGGAGGAGTCCTTACACCTTTTTCCCCTGCTCCAGTGGATCCCCTACTCACGAGGAAAAATCCACAAACGTCTCCAGCGTGAGTCCAGCCCACAGGATGCAATCCTTCCCCACGGATTGCCCCAGTGTGGGCTTTACCACAGTCTCAGATACTTAGGGAGTTGTAGCCACTCGCTCTGGCATGGGTCGTCACGCAGACTCCAGATGCCTCTCTGCCTTGTCGTGCGTCCCAACACGACCATCCCCAGGCTCAGGCAT